GAATAAATTAATTCCAAATAATAATTAAGCAATCGAATGATATTAAAATACAAAAAATCATCAATATCTACTCTAAAACACAACTCACTCACTCATTCTGTTTGCACAAATATTTAGGGGCTCTGATAAAATTGCAGGCCTCCATCTTTCTTTTTAAATGAAATGTATAACTTTAGTTACATCTCTGGGATAACTTCCAAGTTTGGTGCAAAGAAGGTTTCATCCACGTGCAGCCTCCCTGGACACAGCTTGAAACTAGCTCCTAATGCTGCAAAGTGAGGTGATGGACGCAGGGTGTATCTGTAGGTCTCCTGAACCCTGAGTGATCAACCAGTGCAGTGAAGGATAGTCCTTCCTCCATGGGATATCAACAATTGTTGACATTTCTGGAAAGGAACAAATGGCCCTTCATGTCTTGAGAAAAAGAACTTTCAGTTCCCTGCTGTAATTCTTTGGGTCTAAGAATGGCTTCTTGTCATTCATTCACTCTTATGTAAAAATGACACACATAAAGGGATTAATAGTATCCCTGAGTTACTTGGGCCAGGAGTCCTTGTCCTACCCCTCTTACATAGATAATAAACGTGTTCTTGACAGAGAGTTGTGAGAAAAAAATAGAATATTCTATTTGGATATTTTAAGTTTGACATGTCTATTACACATACAATAGAAGATATTAAATAGTTCATGTCATTCTAGAATTGACAAAAAAGGTCAACTACATATACATTGTATTGATAGTACTACCTATCAATTAACTGCATGTGGAAAGAGGAGAAAGAGAGGAAAAATATCTGGAATCATCAGCACTGGGAGGCTGGACAGAGGAGAAAGGAGGAAGGAGGAAGGAGCAATGCCTCAGCATGCTATTGTGTGTTAGAGAAAATCCAAGTAACGTTTTCTGAATAGCAAGGGTGTCTATTTTCTCACAAAGCAGGAAATCCCAAGATTAATTTGGAACAGAATTGGTTAACTCATCTTCTCAGAATTGTCATCAGAGAGTTACAGTCTCCTTGCTTTTTTACCCTGAGAAGCTGACTCTCCTCCATGTCTGACCCTCCACTGCTCTTTCTTCCCCAACGCCTCTTTAAAAAGTGAAGAGACTTTTCTGAGAAGATCCCCAGTAAACTCATTCCTGCATCATAGGCCAGAAGTTTGTTACAATTGGAGCACTCTAAAAGGATTAAAAATCATGGGAGGCAGCAGCCAGATAACCAGAGGCTTGGGGTCACAATTTAAGTTCAGGTGATTTCTTCATTTATTCTTTCAACCAAGCCAGCTTCCAGGCACCATTCTATACACTCTGAACACAGTGGTGAGCACACCTATACCTCTGCCATAAAGGTGCTATGATCTAACCAGAAAGGTTGAAAATAATGAATACTTAGACATATATTAATCAGATGCCAATCAGTGCTGTCAATACATGGAGGTGTGTTATAGGAGACAGTGGCTGAGGTGGGAGAAAGAAAAGATCACAAGAGTCCAAGAATCAACACCAGGAGGCTGGGCAGGTTAGGACCAGGCTGAGGCAAGTGCAGAGCCTGAGCTATGAATTTTAAGGAGGCCTTCACACTCAGATCTTGCCAGTGCTGATCCCGCACTTGCATAAACTTAAGAGCATGGGCCTCCTAAAATGTTGAGCCCAGGTGCCTTATTCTTCTCTGCCTTGTCTGGCTCTGCCAGAAGATCATTCCATCAACTTTTTCAATCACATGAGGGATAGGCATAGAGCTAGAGAGAAAGGTAGAGAGCCAAGTGCTGACATTTTCACTAGATGGTGGTCACTGATCCAGGCAGGAATGTGAAAAAGCAGAGACAATCACTATACAGAAGAGTGACTTGGTGTGAAGTTCCCTTGACCTTCCAAGTAACTAGGTCATTAGGAAGAAAGGGGCTTGGGAATTAGGTTGGGAGTGTTGAAGGAACCTGGGAGGGCACAAGGTGTGCAGGAGAGAAGGGGGTGCTAATGTGATGTGTGTATGTATAGATGCCTATTAATGTTTAAATTAGCTCTTTTACCTGCACAATTAGGAAAGAGACAAAGTGAAAAATCAAATTCAAATATTATAACAGAAGAACTCAGATGTGTACTGAACATGACAGTATGCAAAATACATTCAATTTCATCCTTTGCAGTTTAGTACCAGCTGAATGAATGTGGTGTCAGTGTAAGGTGGTACAAGAGGTAAGGAAAGAGAGCAGTTATTTTCAGCAGTAATAGTATTTCTATGCCCTACTTTGCTTTTTTGTCCTTCAGCCCTCTTGGAGCCGAGTAGTATGGGAGGTGGGTAGTGAAGAGATGAGAAGATGCTGCCTTCCCAAAATCTATTTGTCCAAAGTTTGTACATATATTCAGTTGGCCAGAAGCCCAGAAGGGAAGAGAGTGAGCATCCTGTGGGGTAGACATTACTCTGTCCACAAATACCTGGTTATCTAACTCTTGAGCCTGCCCTTCCCCTGCCATGGGACCGTGTGTGGTAATGGAGATGTGGTAAGATCAAGGCATTCTGGAAGGCAGGGTCTGTACTTAGAGGACATTTGTTCTGGAGAATTGCTTGGATCCACAGCAGATTGTGTGAGCAACATAGAAATTTTTAATATGTTCCCAGCTTTTGTGGCTGTTACTAACACATAATCTAGTGACCAATACACTTGCTTCTGCTGTATCACTTGAATCCATCCATTCTTGTGATTTACCTGAAAGGTCTTCATGCCAATTTTTAGGTTGACATTTGTGATAAAATTGATATTATGTTTTCAGCCATTTTGAAATGTGTCTCTTTTGGTTTGTTTGTTTGTTTGTTTGCAGTGGGGAAATCCCGTCCATGTTTAGAAACAGTATTAACTTTTATGTTAGGACTTAATATTATCAGCACGTTTAGACTTCTGTGTGTGTATATTCAGTGGGTCAGTATCTTGCAGGTGAGTTTTCATCTTTTTAATTGATTGCATTTATGTGTCTCTATTTCCTGAATAGAGTATATATAATTGATCTTAGTCATATTAATGTTTGCCTTAAATGCTTTTATGGAAATGATACATATTTGTTCTAGACATTCACAATGATATAAAATTGCACAACTAATTTTAAAAGATCTCAAATGCCCCTATGAGAAATACTGTCATTAATATTTGATGACCTCTGTCACTCTCTGCATAACTGTTGGTAGAAAGGTGATACAAACAGGGCTGATATCCGCCAGTACACATGAACACTCCCACCCAACTGCTTTAAGGCAGTGTCTGTTCTGAATTGTCAGTGACTGTGTCCTACTGACCCTACATATTTTGAATATTATTGTCCACAATAACACTATCACAGCCACCACCAATGATAACATCTAGCACACACTGGGAAACTAGTTAAATGTTTAGCTCCACTCTAAGTCTTTTGCATGTATTAACTTATGTAATTCTCCCAACAATTATACAAAATAGGCAGTCATTATCTTTATCTATGGATATGACAAGTGAAGGAAAAAAGTTGATATAATTTGTCCAACAGCAGATGGCTACTCTATGACTAATGACACATGGACATACAGACACCTTTCTTTTGCCCTCTGCCAGTCACTACCCTCTCCAGGATAACCAGATAACAGATTAATTTTATTCTATTTGAACGTCATACATGTATGATATCCAAACTTATGTGGTGGTCATCTTTTGCTCAATATCATATTCTAATGATTTATACATGCTTTTGCATGTTTTATAATAGTGTATTTATTTTCATTGAGTTATTAAATTATAGGTGTACACTACAACGTTTTATCCCATTCTGTAGGTTGCCTTTTCACTCACTCTATTGATGGTTTTTTAGTTTGATGCAAGTCATTCATCTATTTTTGTTCTTCTTGCCAGTGCATTTGGTGTCATATGTAAAAACTCCTTGCCCACACCAAGGTACATAGGCTTTTCTTATGTTTCCTTCTAGTCATGCTATGATATTAGGTCTTACATTGAACATATACTCTGGATTAATACTCTCAACAAAATATAAGGGGTATGAAAGGGATATCCCTCAATGCAATAGGTTTTCTTGGTGTTCTTTAAAATATTTATTGACTTAGAAGAATTGCACATATTTTGGGGTATACATGTGCTATTATGATACATGTATACAATGAGAAATGGCCATATCATGGTAATTGGGATAACCATCACTTTGTTTTATTTTATATTTTTAGGATAATTTTTTCTAATTTTGTTTTATTTCAGCATAATACAGGGGTACAGATATTTAGGTTACATATATTGCTTTTGCCCCACCCGAGTTAGAGCTTAAAGCATGTCCATCACCCAGAGAGTGCACACCGCACCCATTAGGTGTGTATATACCCATCCCTTCCTCATCTCTCTCATCTGTCTGACACACAATGATTGTTATTACTATTTATGCACTTAAGTATTGATCAGTTAATACCAATTTGATGGTGAGTACATGTGGTGCTTATTTTTCCATTCTGGTGATATTTCAATTAGTAGAATGGTCTCCATCTCTATCCAGGATAATACAAGAGGTGCGAGATCACCATTGTTTTGTGGTCTACTAGACCATTGAGTAGAACTCGATGGTCTACATATATCACATTTTTTAATCCATTCATGTATCAACTTGTTATCTATAAGAAGAAAATATTGAATAGTTTTCTTACAGCATGAGAAAAATAGCCAATTAAAGAAAGATATCACCCATGAATACCTAATACATTTAAGATAACAGTCCTCAAAAAAACCATAAACCATACAAATCATGAAATGAAAGTTTGACTCATGTTATTACACAAAAATTAAAATTATGAATATGTCTGGAAGATCATAATCAGTTTGTAATTAAATGTAAAAGTAAAGAGTACAGCTCTCCATGATTATATGCCAAAACAACATGAAGAATCCTCAGTGGATCAGAAATGGATGAATCCCTGGACATGGAGAGCTCTCCTGATGGCAGAAATATAAAGGTATTAATATGCATTAATTAGTGAGATTTTTCAACATAGATCAGAGGATCAAAGATTGAAGTGTAAGATTTAATGTATTTCCTGCTGAAGGTGATTTCTGAAGATTCTGTGTTCTGAGCTTAATTCTGTGTTTCATTTACATCCCAGATGAACTGCAATGGAAAGTCTTTCATCTGCTTTTGGAAAATCTTGTCAAATCTTTCATTCTGCTCGATGGTCATGTGATTTTTCCAGTCTCCAATGGTACCTGTAGAAAATAACAGAGAAATAGCTTGGCGAAGTTTTGCTGTGTAGTGAAGGGCAAAACAAACATGTAACTCAGTGCTGGTAGAAACCTTTTCCCACTTCTATTTTTAAGCCCATTAAGCCCTCAGGCATTCATCTACTGGCTAAGACTCTCCACTCTCTCACTTTATGGCAAGCAAGTGTGTTTATTTAAACACACGTATCATTGCAATTTTACTATAATTATATTCAATCACCCACATTCTCAGTGTCCACACAGGGAAAACTGAAAATTAGTAGAACTTGATCACCATTTTGCTCCTATACCACATTGCTTCCTCTAATCTACAGAAGTCTCTTAAGAATTTTATATATAAGTCATCACTGAGATAACACTTACAGGTAAAGACTTGGATGCTCAGAGAGATTTTGTAAAACAGCCCAAGATCATACAGTGTATAATGGCAGAACTGAAATCATTCCACCTTTACCCCATTTGCTTGTGACTTGACTTTAAACTAAACTTCAAAACACACACAGTTGTCATGAAGAATAGTAGCTGACACAAAGAGAGGCAAAAAAGGAAAGATTGATTTGAAAATAGGTTGTGCTGAAAACACACTGAAAACTGAAAGAAATGACTGAAGCACTGAATAAACTAAGGACACAAACACCTAATGCAGCCGTGCTAAAGCCACAGCAAACGATGATAAAGTGGATATAATCAAGGAGCAACTCTTTAAGTCCCTTAAAAATAAACACATGGCTCACTTCTACAAAAACATTTTGCTCACTCTTATATTTCTTCTAGTCATATCAGTCTCTCATTGTCCAGGTTTCCTAAGGACACACAAACACAGAAATACGCCTTCTTTCAAATACAAAATGCAAGTGCAGTGCTAACAGAGGTGGGCAGTGGCCTGAGCATCTGGAAGACAGTAGGTTGTATTTGGCCTAATGTCAATGGGTGTGTCCCATTTCTGGTCAGCTCAATGATACCAGTTCTTCAGGTATTTCAATGGAAGGTGAAAGGATGCACCAAAGAGAGGTAGTAAAGCAAATACTAACATATAGAAATACAAACCCAATATTTATTGCTTCTTGCCATAAGATACATAACTCTATGAAATTATCAACTGCTGAAACTATGTTTATAATTATGTGTAATACTGTTATCAAATATGAAATATAACATGGAATTATAAAGTAATTAAAATATTTTAATATTTTTAATTTTAGGAGTTATAAGAAGAATCCATGTATTCTAAAAACTCTTTCCCCAGAAACCAGATAAATGAAAATATGTAAATTTTTTAAAAATGTTATACTACTTTAATAAAAGATATGTTACAGTCTTTCCTGACAACCAAAGAAGAGCCAGTGTATGCTGTTCATTCACCACAGTCAGAGTTCCAGGATAAATCATGGAGATGCAAAAGAGCAAGTGATGACCACTAGGCTTGTCAATATTCCATTGTCAGGTGCTGTGGCCCTGTTTAGGAGGGGGAATCATCTAATCCTAAATGAATATCCATCGCGTGGCAGGTAAGCACTGTGCTAGCCGTCAGTAGATGTTCCAAGGCTACATGGAAGACCTTGTGAGCTTAGATTCTGCATCAGATAACCTTCAGGAACCAGACAATGTTGTTGCATGGAGAGCACCAGGCAGACATCATGTGAAAAAAACAGACTAGAGAAGGGAAAGGGCCAAGAAGGGTCTGTGTTCGAAACTCTACCACAAACCCCGGGGGCTGTACTCTGTGCCATCTGCATCATGGTGGAAAACAACCGTACACTAATTCACTGCTGAGCTTCACCTTTGCGAATGAAATGATCTTCTCTTAGTTTGGGCCCAACATTCCAGTAGAGAGCATTTTCATAATTTGCTAGTGGGTCATCCTTCATGCTCTCAAATGTGGCCTGTCTCACCACAGCATTCAAGGTCTCCTCACTCAGGTCTTCACCCAGAAATTTGGAGAGTTGTAACACAGAACTTCTGAGATTCTGAAATATATCACAGTATGATAAATTAAACAAATTGTTAGAAGGGAGACACAGGCAAGTGTCATAGATAAATATCATTGTAGGAGTGAAAATTGTGGGTACTGCAGCTGGTTGTAAGTTTGGAGTTGGACAGTGTAACTTGACTTTCTTCTTCCATACTGGTAAACAATTCATTTGCTGCTGTTTTAGAGTTTAATTACATTAATTGTACATTTTTCATTTTCTCTGTGTTCTCTTAGCAAAGTTTCTACTGTCAGGCACTGTCCTGGGTGATGCGGGGACGGAAGGAAAACAGTGCTGGGAATTGAATACAAGATCTAGGGCAAGAGAGTTATTGTGGAATGGAATTAAGAGAAAGTTACAACAAAGAAGAGATATTACTCTGGGTCTTGAAAGAAAAACAGTAATTTTCTAAGTAGACAAAACTGGAGATATGCAGTGTAAACATAAGAAAACAAATACACATGCTATAGTTGTATGGTATGTACAAAATATCAGGCAACTAAAAAGTAAGAAACTCGGTTTCCTCAGAGCTTGATGGACACAGGCCTGGAATGAAAAAGTAGGGGACATGCGTGGAGAGATGTGTGGGACCAGACTGTGAGGAGGCTGCAATTGGTCACATGGACCCAACTGGACACACACATGAGACCTCACTTTGGATATTGAAACAAAAGAGAAAGTCAAATGTAAAAAGCTTCTGAGATTGGCATTCATCCTGGAGAGGAGGTAAGAACAAAACAAGGGACCCAGTCCCTTTAACCCTGCATCAGGTGGTTCCAGATGAGGACGTGAGTCTGAAGCCCTGACAACTGTCTTATAATTATGAGGAGAGACGTCACTGGTATAGCAAATACGACCATATGGAAAGGTAGAAAATGCTTGAGGCATTCCTGACATCCTTGAGGTGCCATGCCCAGCCTCAGATAGCTAACCTCTGAAACTCAGTTACTATACGATAGATGTTTTTGTATTTAAAGCCACTTATTGTTGACTGTTCATGGGAGTAAGATTCTCACAAAGGAAATATAGACATTTTCTTGTTTATGTAAGTTTTCTTATCTTTTTTCTTTACAAACCCTTCTATCAAAGGATGACTTTCAATGGATTCCAGTGAGGAGCTGCTCTGCAGTATACGATGTTTTCATTTAATTTTTCAGGCAATTCTCAACTGAAGACAACCAAGACAAGGTGAGAGATACTAGATAAATGACTCATCTTAAGCTTAATCTTGGATCTCAAATTCCATATTGTTCTTTGAGTGTTGTAAGCATGAACTGTGAATTCATTAGGTCAGGATGGGTAAGAGCTTAGATCAAAGCACAAATGGGATCTCATCTCACCTTCTTCATCTCTTTGTACTTCATGGACTGAATATTGAAGTTGTTTCTGTGTTCATACCAATCTCTGATATGGTCAAACCAAAGGTTTCCTATCACTGTGGGAAGAACAGATAAGTAATTAGGTAAATATGTCGAGAGGTTTGAACAGGTTATGAGGTGTGGGAATCTTTAGTAACCAAACAGTAAACAGATGTCTGTTGCTAGTTTCTAGATTTTCCTTGCCATGTGGTTACTTGGGAAGCATTTAGCTTTGAAAAGGGAACAATTACACAAAATAAAGGACAAATTAGTCTTTTAAAAATGCAGTTTGTATGAACAGAAAGCAGCTTAATGTGGAGTGAGTAAAGACCAAAAATGGAGGGCAGCTGAACAAACCATACCTCTCTTCCTGCTCCTCTTCCTGTTTCCAAACACACACACACACACACACACACACACACACACACACACACAAACATTTCCCCTCTCCATTTGCCACCATAAGAGACCAGAGGAGTTAGCTTCTGCTCTGCACAGTGACCCAGAATCTAAGTTTAGGCATCCTGTGTGATATTATCATCTCTGTCTCCACAGGCCTTGCTCCTTCTCACCTACTTACATTGGATTCTTAGAAAAACAAAGTGGAAAGGAACTCTCAGAAACACATTTCTGAGTTACTGAAATACTAATCTGTCCTCATTCTTTCCATGGAAGTGATTTTGTAAAATAGTCAACCCGTGGAGAGTGGGTCAGACTAGAGCAATTGGCACGAATGGCAGGACTTGGTCCTTCTACACAATCCTACCAACTGGTTGCTAAAGTGACCACTGACCACCATTCTACTCTATTTTCACCACCCTCTTTTCCACCCTGCAAATTCATAAAGCTCAAAAACTCACCACAGCACAGCAAACATATTTGGGTTTTAATATCAGTTACGTTTCCTATCCAAAAATTGTTTCATAAATGCATCAATGGTGTCTGCAGCTTTAAATATTGGATATGTGTTTAAAAAATGAAAATATGAGCCCATAACATCCTTAGGGTTTCTGTATATGTATATAATCTACAAAAGAAAGGAGTTATTATTTCTGATGCTTTCATTTATCATGTTTTCTTCAGAATACATCTCAATTGGATTAAGCCCATATTTTAAATTTCATAATTCCCTAAGTGTGTCATCAATATTCACAGCTTCTCCTTTATATTTAGTGCTTCTCCTTCTCTGTAACACCATTCAAGACACATCTCAGAAGACTCATCTTCCTATGGTTTGATTCACTCATCTTTTAATGTAAAGTTTACCTAATTTTTATTTCTATACCCTTATTGAGTCAAGCACAAGTGATTGGCACACAGACCTTACTTTCTAAGTATTTTTTCTTTTCAAACCACCCAGAAATAGAGAACTTTGTGGAGTTTTTATTTATTTTTTGTTGTTTGGGTTTTTGTAAGCCAGTGAATAGAAACAAGGATAATGGAGAAAGAGCAGAGGAAAGTTTTACAGCAGGAACCCTGGCTGTGAGCAATTATTTGCAAACATCACTGCACTCAACCAGCCTAGAAGATTTTTTAAAATTGTTTAGCAGAACCAACTAGAATAAATTTATTCCAAATAAAAATTAAGCAATCCAATCATATTGGAATACAAAAAATCATCAATATCAACTCTAAATCACAACTCACTGCTCGGTCTATGTTTGCATAAATATTTAGGGGCTCTGATAAAATTGCAGGCCTGCATCTTTGTTTTTATATGAAATATATAACTTTCGTTTCTTCTCTAGGAAAACTTCCAATTTGGCACAGAGAAGGTTTCATCCCCGTGCAGCCTCTCTGGGCACAGCCTAGAGACAGCTCCTAATGCTGTGAAGTGAGGTGATGGATGCAGGGTGTATCTGCAGGTCTCCTCAACCCTGAGTGATCACGTAGTGCATTGAAGGATAGTCCTTCAGCCACGGGATATAAACAATCGTTGACATTGCTGGAAAGGAACAAATGACCCTCCATGTCCCCCCAAAACTCCTTTTTTTCAGTTCCTTACTGTGATTCTTTGGGTCTTAGAATGGCTTCTTATCATTCATCCGTTTGCTTATGTAAAAATGAGGCACATATAGGTATTAACAGTATCCTTGAGTTACTTGTGCCACGAGTCCTCGTTCTACTACCCTTATAGAGATAATGACACATGTTCTTGACAGAGGGAACTTGAGAAGTAGAGTTGTGAAGAAAAAATAAAATGTTCTATTTGGATAGTTTGAGTTTGAAATGTCTCTTTTACATACAATAGAAGATATTAAATAGTTCATGTCACTCTAGAATTGAAAAAAGAGGTCAATTAGATATACATTGTATTTAACATGATATGATGAACATTACTTAGCAATTAACTGCATATGGAAAGAGGAGGAGAGGAAAAATATCTGAAATTTTCAGCCCTGGAAGACTGGACAGAGGAGAAAGGAGTAGTGAGTAAGGAGCAATGCCTCAGTATCCTATTGTGTGTTAAAGAAACCCAATTAATGATTTCTGAATAGCAAGGGTGTCTCTTTTCTCTAAAACAGGAAAGCCCAAGATTACTTTAGAGCAGAATTGGTTAACTCATCATCTCAGAGTTGTCATCAGGGAGTTACAGTCTCCCTGCTTTTCTACTCTGACAAGGTGACTCTCCTCCATCTATGAGCAGTCACTGCTCTTTCTTCCCCAAGGCCTTTTTAAAGAGTGAAGAGACTTTTCTGAGAAGATCCACAGAAAACTCATTTTTCTGTGTCATACGCCAGAAGTTTGTTACAATGGGAGCACCCTGAAAGGAGTAAAAATTATAGGAGGCAGCAGCCAGATAACAAGGGGCTTGAAGTCACAATTTAAGTTCAGGTGATTTCTTCTTTCAACCAAATTACCTGCCAGGCACTGTTCTACACTCTCTGAACACAGCAGTGAGGCCAAGTATACCTCTGCCATGAAGGTGCTACAATCTGGCCAGACAGATTGAAAATAAATGAATACCTAAATATATATTGTATCAGATGCCAATCAGTGCTGTCAATACAGGGAGCTGTGTTATAGGAGACAGTGGCTGAGGTGGGTGAAGGAAAAGATCACAGGACTCACCAGGAGGCTGCACAGGGCTAGGACCAGGCTCAGACAAATGCAGAGTCTGAGCTATAAACTTTAAGGAGGGTCTCACTCTCAGGATCTTGCCAGGGCTGATCCTGCACTTGCACGACTCCTAAAGCATGTGCCTCCTTAAATGTTGAGCCCAGGGGGCCTTGTTAGTCTCTTCCTTGTCTGGGTCTGCCAGAAGATCATTCCCATGAACTTGTCCTATCACATAAGCAACAAGCATAGAGCTAGAGAGAAAGGTAGAGAGCCAAGTGCTGACATTTTCAATAGATGGTGGTCGCTGAACGAGGCAGGAAGATGAGAAAGAAGAGACAATCACTATCCAGAAGAGTGACTTGGTCTGTAGTTACCTTGACCTTCCAAGTAACTAGGTCTATAGGGACAAAGGAGCTTGGGAATTAGGTTGTGAGTCTCAAAGGGAACCTGGGAGGGCACTAGGGGTGTAGGAGGGACAGGAGTGCTAAAGTGATGTGTATATATAAAGACAACTATAAATGCTTAAATTAGCTCTATTTTACCTACACAATTAGGAAAGAGACAAAGTAAAATATCAAATTCAAATATTATAACAGAAGAATCCAGATGTGTGCTGAAAATGACAGTATGTAAAATGCATTCAATTTCATCCTTTGCTGTTTGCCACCAGCAGGATGAATGTGGTGTCAGTGAAAGGAGGTACAAGGAGATAAGGAAAGAGGGCAGTTCTTGTCAGGAGTGATAGTATTTGCATGCCCTACTTTGGCTTTTTTGTCCTTCAGCCCTCTTGGAACCAAGTAATATGGGAGGTGGATAACAAAGAGATGAGGAGATGGTCTTTTGCTAAAATCTATATGTGTAGAGGAGTACTCAAGAAAGGGGACATGATTAAATGTCTCCAGATTTTCCGTTGTTTTGCAATGTTCCTCAAAATGAATCAAGTTTAATATCTGCTGACACCAGGTGGTTCCTATAAAAGAAATAATTTTGTTTTTATTAATGCATGGATTTCAGAAAAATATATATAACCAATTTTCTAATCAAATGAAGTTTGATTACAGTAGGTTATATGAGAATTTCATTGATGCAAAGTGAAATTAGGCTAAAGGGAACATATATTGCTTTTATTTTTCATTTAGGATCTTACATGTGGGTTTTTCATACAGATTTATTCTTTGATTCTTTCTTTGTGCTTTCTTATGTTTCACCCATGATACCTTTCAAATTATCTTCTCTGCTCAACTCTAGATTTTTGTCCTCAATCTATTCCCTCGGGAATGAGCTAATATAATCACAGAAAAGAGGAATTGCAGTGAAGAAGTAACTTGGAGTATTTCTTCTTTTCCCCATGTTTCCCTCGCAATTGCTGCTTAAGGAAATAGTGTTTAATTTTAAGCACCTACAAAAGGTCTTTGATGCCAACATGTAGACAGAAATGAAAAGTTAATAACTGAAGTTTGACCATTGTTTTTCAGTGTGATTTGAGAAAAGCAATTAGATTAATTCCAATTAGAATTGGCATTTAGTTTTCTTATACCTCTTATGTATGCTTAATATTTGGGACTAAGATTTGAAACATTCCTTGTATATAGGTTTTTTCTCTAGTTTTCAGTCAAAATGGGTTGAAATGGTTTACCTCACTGAAAAGTCACAAGTCCCAGAGGGATATTTCTCAGATTTCTGCTAGGAGAAAACCTACTACTCCTCAACAATTCCCATCCCAGCCTTTGTTTCCGAAGACTATGCAATAAACTCTCGTGAGCAGCTTCACCTGGTGAGTAAGATCATTGTTGAGCATACACCCCTTCATGGCTGCTGCACGTGATATGCACCTTATGTGTTCCTCTTACTACCTAAATTTTGGTGGCTGTAGTCTTCAGTGTTGCCGGGGAAGACTATGACCACATGTGCCTACTTGCTGTTATAGCTGGACCAAATATTCCACTGAAAATTCATTGATATGAAACTCTACAGAGTTTCTTACATCCTTCCTTATTTCACATATAACAGATACTGCTTCTTCAAGAGATATCACAACTTCAAGGCCACAGCTCTTTTAGCTGAAGGGTTCCCAACAGTGACTTGAGGTGGTCACTTGAGGTGGTCACAAGTCTGTAGATACTGAAGAACCAGAGAAGTGGAAGAGTGTGTTCCCCATGTAAAAGAGTCTACATTTCTTCTCCCTCCTCTCTTGCTGCTGCTTCTTCTGTTTCCACTTCCCTTCCCGCTCTCCCTCCCTCTATTTCTACATTTTTCCCTGTTAGGATGTCAGATTTTAGAGTAAAGGAATCTTCATCTTTCCCTGCACTTCCTGTCATATTAACATCACTGATTCATTTCAGTCCCTCATTTATCTGCTTGTATGTTCCTTTTATTCCCATTTCCTACCTAAAATGCTGTAACTATGCCTATCATTGCAACTAGTCAATTGGTTTTAAGGTGCATCTGTTTGCTTGAGTATATTCTTTTGAGATGTGCACTGCTGTGAGTTCTTATATTTTCAATTTAAGTGGAGCAACTTATTTTTTATGGTTTTTTCACTGAGTACTATGATTTTAAGGTCAATTATGCACTACCTCTGATCTATTGCCCCTATCAGCTGCTGCCTCCTACTTCATAGTGTGCACCCCTGGGTTTTACCTATCCACTTTCTCACTCAGGGACTTCCTGCTCAAGCAGCATAGCAATGTGCAGCCTCATTTTGTTTCTATGCATGGACCTGTTTAAGAATTTCATTAGGGTAACTATTCAGGAGAGCAATTGCTTGTGTTGAAAATGAGATCAAAATGCTGAAGGAATGGACTATTTGTGATAAAAAGATACCAAGTTATAAACCGGACCTAAGGCCATGCTAGGCAAGGGTTCAGTCATGCACCCCTACATTTAAAGTATGAACTAGGTTTGAGGTGCCACAAGGTGCTTCTTTTTCCTAGCAGCTAAACATGCACTGGCCTGGTGA